CTTCCGGGGGCCGCACAGGCGGGAGTCACTTTTCCGACTCCCGTGCTCAGGAGTCGTGGGCGTCGGCGTGTCGTTCCTCCCCGCCATGCTGATTTTGTTTATGTGTGAATTCTGGGGGGGCTTGTGTGGTGACACGTTATCGGACATAATTCACCTTGCTTATTGTGTTGCCACACGGACCCTTTAGTGGGGAACACCTGTAGCTTTAGCTGCCATTCCTGCTAGCTCATCAGGCAGAGCAGTGCATGTGTTAATCTCTCTGAAAGTAATGGATAATAAAGATTGGAACTCCATTCTTAATACACCGCCTCCGACTCTCTTTTCACGGCACTACAGTATATACATAGATGGGGGGGGGGGGGGGGAGCTGTCCATTGAACGACAGGTTGAGATTTGTACCATTACCGGGGCCAGTTTTGCAATGCTCTCCCCCGAAGGTGCTCTTTAAGAGAGGTTTTGAAGGTAAGTATAGTTTTACTTTCCTTTACAGTTGTGGGAAGAGCGTTCCACCTTGATGTGGCAGTATCATGCAGCTCCCGGATCAGTAATGAGTGACCCGACAGTAAAACTAAACATATCTATAACTAGTTTAGGTAGTTTGAGAGGTAATTAAAATAGCTACGTGTGATATTCTAACCTGAAGTGTGTGTTTTGTCCGCTCACCGCTGCATGTGATCATGCAGAGCTGCGGGTCGACTCGTCAGCAGCAGCTGATCTCTCTCTCCCGTCAGATTAGACTTCACTCGCGTTTATGTCCATATCGATCAGATCCAGCTAGTTCTAGCTAATGATAGGACTCCCTGCTTATTAAAAGACACCTAAACAATAAGCGTCGCTATGCAACTGGGTGAGGCCACAAAGTATAGCGCAGCATTATGCATTTGTTTACATGCCCACCGGAACCCCGAGGCATTACCAACAGATCAACGCACAATCAACCCATACAGGACATCTCTTTCTCCACATTAAGTGTTCGACATTATAATTGACTATTCTTGTCTGTCACATAAATGGTGCAAGTTGCACAACTGATGTGGTATTGCGCTAAATGGAAATGATTTTGAACGGACACTTTGACCGGAGAGATTTAGATTTGCCGGTCTTCAGCATATTTTACCGGTCGTAGTCCGGTAATTACCGGCTAACGGGAACTCTGCCTGCCGGAGCGGGTTTCTTCTTCGTGAAGAAAAAAGATGGTTCTCTCCGTCCCTGCATCGATTACAGTCCACTGAATGACATCACGGTAAAAAAACAGATACCCCCTCCCTCTCATTGACTCTGCTTTTGACCTATTGCAGGATGCTAAAGTGTTCACAAAACTGGATTTACGCAACGCTTATCATCTGGTAAGAATAAGGGAGGGGGATGAGTGGAAAACTGGATTTAATACCCCAACAGGACATTACGAGTACCTCGTAATGCCTTTCGGGTTAACTAACGCCCCAGCAGTTTTCCAGGCGCTGGTCAATGATGTACTCAGGGAGTTTTTGAACTTGTTTGTCTTTGTGTATTTGGATGACATTTTAATTTTCTCTCCTGATAAGGAGACTCATGTGCAACATGTCCACCAAGTACTACAGCGCCGCCTACTGGATAATCACCTGTTCGTAAAAGCAGAAAAGTGTGAGTTCCATGCATCAACTGTCTCATTCCTGGGGTTAATCATTTCTCCTGGACAAATCCTGATGGACCCTGCAAAGGTCAGTGCAGTGGCAGACTGGGCGACTCCCACCAATAGGAAGAAGGTACAGCCGTTTTTAGGGTTTGCTAACTTCTACAGACGATTTATTAGGCACTTTAGCTCTGTTGCTGCTCCCCTTCATGCACTGACCTCACCAGGGGTTAACTTTGTGTGGGGCCTCAGGGCCGAGGAGGCTTTTAATGAGTTAAAAAGAAGGTTTACCACAGCTCCCATACTGACTGTTCCTCAACGACAGTTTGTTGTGGAGGTGGATGCCTCCAATGATGGGGTGGGGGCCATTCTCTCACAGAGAGCGGCTGGGGATCATAAGATGCATCCTTGTGCCTTTTTGTCTCGCAAACTATCTCCCGCAGAGAGAAACTACGACGTCGGAAACCGAGAGCTGTTGGCAGTCAAGATGGCTCTGGAGGAGTGGAGGCACTGGCTTGAGGGGGCGCCACAGCCGTTCTTGGTTTGGACCGACCACAAGAAGCTTCAATACATCCGCAAAGCTAAGAGGTTGAACTCACGCCAGGCCCGGTGGCAACTTTTTTTTAACCGTTTTGACTTTACATTGTCTTTCAGACCTGGGTCCAAGAATGGCAAACCTGACGTCCTCTCACGCCTCCATCACCCAGAGCCCATGGCCAAGGATCCAGAGCCAATCCTTCCACTCTCCCGTGTGGTTGGGGTGGTGACATGGCCTATAGTAGATCAGGTGAAACGTGTCAATGGTGAGGGGCCGAAACTTAGTGGCTGTCCATTGGACAGGCTATTCGTGCCTGAATCCATGCAGTCACAGGTTATTCATTGGTCTCACACATTACTGCTCACTTGTCATCCAGGGGTCAAGCGGACCGTATTCGTCGTTCGACAGAGGTTTTGGTGGCCTTCCTTGGTTAAGGATGTCTCCGAATATGTGGCTGCCTGTGTAGTTTGTGCCAGGAACAAGACATCATCAAAATCACAGATGGGACTGCTGCAGCCTCTCCCCGTTCCCAGCAGGCCCTGGTCTGACATTTCGTTGGATTTTGTCACGGGTCTTCCTCCATCCAAGGGTAACACCACTGTCCTCACTGTAGTGGACAGGTTCTCTAAGATGGTCCATTTTATTGCCATGCCAAAGTTGCCGTCAGCTAAAGAGACTGCTCAGGCGTTATTGACTCATGTTGTCCGTATTCATGGTATTCCCAGAGACATTGTGTCGGATCGAGGTCCTCAGTTTTCCTCCAGGAAGGAGTTTTGCACCCTCCTGGGAGCGTCCGTCAGCCTCACCTCAGGTTATCATCCCCAGTCCAACGGACAGACGGAACGGCTGAATCAGGAGCTGGAGACGTGCCTGCGCTGCCTGTTTTCTCAGAACCCTGCAACCTGGAGCGAGCATCTGACATGGGTGGAGTATGCACGCAACTCTTTGCCCACCTCTGCTACCGGTCTGTCTCCCTTTCACTGTGTCTTTGGCTATCAGCCTCCTCTATTCTCAGAAGCTGAGAAGGAGGTGGTGGTGCCATCTGCTCACGCCTTAGTCAGAAGATGCCACCGTGTCTGGGCTGCAGCTCGTCGGGTCCTCCTGAGGAATTCGGCTCGGATGAAGACGGTGGCGGATCAACGGCGGCGGGCGGCACCTACATACAGACCGGGGCAGCGGGTGTGGTTGTCCACAAAGGATCTGCCACTCAGGGTCTTGTCAAAGAAGCTCGCTCCAAGGTTTGTGGGTCCATTTCCTGTCACTAAAATAATCAATCCTGTATCTGTCCGTCTCCGTCTGCCCAGGTCACTACGGGTTCATCCAACGTTCCACGTCAGCCGAATCAAGCCGGTTCTGGACAGTCCCCTGGTTCCACCCTCCAAACCCCCCCCCCCGTGTTGTTGATGGCGGTCCGGTGTACTCTGTCAAACGTCTCCTGTCAGTGAGAAATCGAGGCCGAGGTCGTCAATATCTGGTTGATTGGGAGGGCTACGGTCCTGAAGAACGGTCCTGGGTCCCGTCCAGTTTTATCGTGGGCAAAGACTTAATCGAGGACTACTACAGGTGTCATCCGGAGGTCCCAGGGCCGTCAGGTGTCGTCCCTAGAGGGGAGGGTACTGTTGTGCGTAGACGGCTCTGCTAAGATTGTTCCCTAGTTTAGGTTTCATGTTATGTGTTTAGATAGGTTCCTGTTTTATTTTGATAGTCTTGTCTACCCTCATGTGTCTAAAGTACGTTTCCTGCCTTGTCTGTTTTCTCACGGTTGTGATTGTCTAATTGTCTTCACCTGGTGTTGTCTGTCTAGTATATATAGTTCTCGTCTTCCCCTGTCTCGTTGCCAGATTGTCTTGTGTGTTCCAAGCCTTCCAGCGTAAGATCCTTTTGTCATTGTCCATAGAGTTATCGTCCATAGAGTTAGATTAGTGTATTAGTAGTTTTTGTTTTGTTGCTTTATGTATTCATTGTGTTATGACCTGTCTACATTAAAACACTTTATTTTGATACTTTGTTTGTCTCTTCATCGTGCATTTGATTCCACGCCCTTGTACAGCCCTAACAAACAACCAACAACCCTGCATTCTTGGAACGCAATGCCCTCGTAGGACAGTAGGGTATAATGAGTTCTTTAAGGTAAGATGGCGCCTGCCCATTAAGGGCTTTGTAGGCGAGAAGAAGAATTTTAAATTCTATCCTGTGTTCTATAGGGAGCCAGTGTAAGGCAGCCAGAACAGGAGTAATGTGGTCCCTTTTCCTAACTCTGGTTAGTACACGAGCTGCAGCATTTTGAAACATGTGAAGTCTCTGGATATTCTCCAGTGGGGTATTAACTGACATACAAAAATACTTTGAGAAGAGGAAGCCCAAAATTGCTAAAATGCTGACTCATTTCTGGGTTTAGGACTTATTCCTGTACCACGCTATTGCTCTGTTCCTCCAAGGAAACTCTTCTTAATGCAGTCTGACGGCCTACTAACATCCACAGAAGAAACACCTTAACAACCATTTAGGCCTACTAGTTACTTTAAAATTAATAGATGTGCAACATTACATGCCAAGAATTCTAATAAACGCAATATTTCTGTTATGCACTGACCTCAGTGTTATTGACGTAGTTTGTTTTTGTATTGATACAACTTTTGCAATAATATACAGGCTCATTTTGATGGCAGTCTGATTATAGGCAAGGCTCAGATAAGAATATGTTTAAAGATCATATTATGACCACTATTGTGAGTTTCGCCCTAGCAACTAAAGTTTGTGTGTGTGTGTGTGTGTGTCAGTGGGAGGGGCCGACAGCTGCACCTGTAACTCAGCACCTAGGAGAAGGCGGACAGAGTGGATGTGGACAGGAAACCAGGGAGATCTAGAATACATGACGGACCAGAGGATCATGCTTGGACTGCCATCAGCTCACTTTACCTCTTAGTTATTTATTTTGTGATGTGATTTGCTCCTGTTACCCTCAGGAGAGGCATCTAACACCTGCTACTGGGATACAACACCATTTCTACTGAGATTCTTCTACTTCCACTCAGTGTAGTTCTGTGTAATAATGGACTCTCCTCTGAGAATTGAATGAGCATTAAGTGATTAAAAGTTGCTGTTTTCCTGCCACTTCGCAGACAGTTTAATATATTGTGGTCTTATAGGCTTATTCCTCTGCAGGTGCTATACTAGCATAGAGACAGAGGCATAACATAGCAGCACAGTGAAGTGGAATTCAGCTTCCCAAAGTGCTGTTCCGGCTGGAAGGCTAAACTCATGAGTTGAACAAGTTATTGGAGAGAAGAGGCTGACAGTCGGTCCTGAAGTCTGGAGTCTCACAGCTGGAAGGAGAACGTTTCAAACAGGTGAGTGTCAAGCTAAGGGTGGAAAGTACATGTGCTATGTACCCTGTTTCCATTGTAAGGAAACAGGGTACATAGTACACATATATATATATATATATATATGCATATAATAAAACATCAATAAATATATCCAAGTAAAATGATCATCTGTATAGCTAATGTAGTTCTATGTAAATAGAAATTATTTGTTAATCAGCAAGAAAAACATATATTTGACACATGAGTGCTAATGAGTGCTTTTTTGTGTCTGATTGGAATCGTCTATAAAAAATGACAGAGAGAAAGAAAATATCACAATAGCAAGAATAACAGTTTAATGTATGCAGGTGTAGCCACACAGTACTTTTGGACTTCCCCTGAATGTGTAACCTGTGACATACTTCGATTTAATTGAAATATGTCACATGCCCAACACGAATGGTCCAGAGGTCTACTACCTGCCAGACATAACAACCTTTGAACACTCACACACACACACACACACACACACACACACACACACACACACACACACACACACACACACACACACACACACACACACACACACACACACACACACACACACACACACACACACACCGCTGTACACACAGTGACCACAGACTGTGTTTCCTAAAATAAAAGTATTTATATGCATTTATTTAGACCT